TCAAATATTCTGGTTGATTTTCGATCGATTCAAATTCTTTTTCACATTTCCGTTTGCGATAAATTCAATTCGGGCCTGATTTTGGTGGTGTGTCAGAATTTTGCATATTTTAAATGCAAAAATGAAAAAAAACATGTTCATTCTTAATGGCTGTTGGAAGAATTGAATGCGAAAAAATCGATTTAAACCGTTTCTATGGTTTTATCAACATCATCTGAAATATTTTAAATTTTTGTTATTAAGAAAATTTTATCATCATAATAATAATTTGAATTATTCCATGGATTAGTCATTTAGAAAACATGATTTCACGAATCCAATTGCAAAAAAAAACCAAAAATTAATTTGATTGTCACATAACAAAACACACACACATATAGCAGCCATTTATTATAAATCATTGAGTTATTTGATCTTTTGAGCTTTTTCCAATTGATTCGATTCGATTCAATTGATCTCAGAATGTTCAATCCATCAATAATCATAAAAAATAATGCTAGTTAATGTCTCCATGTCTTTGTTGACCATTTGCCCATGATAAGCTAACCAATAATTCATAAATGATCAATGTGTGTGTGTATCAATATAAACCAAAAAAAAAAAAAAAAAAATATTAATCGTAAATCTTATGAAATGAAAGCGCAACAAAAGACTCCGATCCATTTGGCACAATGACTGACGACTGTACTAATAGTTTGCGGCCGATCCCGTTAGTAATTCAAGTTGTATGAATCTCAACTATTGAAAGATCGTGATCAAATTGTTTTTCAATGTTGGTCGAAAAATTCAACAAAAATAAAAATATTATTATTATTACAGCACTTTAGGATTTAGTTTATCGAATTCCGATCAAATACATCATCAATTTGGCTAATGAATTGTTGTTTGCATCGAGTCACATACCGTAATTTCCTTTTTTATCTAATAATTTCTTAAATTCTATTCAAAAAGATAGTCGTGAGGATTTCATCATTAGAATTATCTAGGATCTGAATTTCTTTTGTTTTTGCTTGACAATAACAACAATGTACAACCTTAATGTTTATCAATTTGTATCACGAAAAGTCTTCGAGATTATTACATTATGTTTATCAGACATTTTCTGGGATTTTATTTGTGGAAATAAATTTCTTTTGTCACTAATCATGAATAGACAATTTTTTTTGTTTTATTTGAAAAAATTGATTAATTATAGGAATTCTTTATTGATTTTCTTCTTTTCGTTTCATAGTTTTCAACTAAATCGACCACAATGATGATGACTATGAGAATGGAAAATTTTTCAAAAATTGTCATTTCTATTTCGTGTTTTTTTAAAGAAATTGTGAATTCTTGACACGTAATTCGCAAAAGTTTTTGGCAACTAGATTTTCTCATGTTTGTGAGAGAATATGTTGATGATGATGATTTAGTTGTTACGGTTGAAAGTATAAAATCACTTTCGTTCATAGACACACACTTATGCAATCAATGAATAGAATTCTTGGGAACCAAGGCAACCCTTATAGCCTATCATTGTCATCATCATTGGAAACTTTGTTTTTAGAGTTCATATAAAACATGTATTTTTGTTGATCGAACATTGATGATTTTACTTGGCTGCCATGGAATTCATTTCAAGTATAAACAAAAATGTGAAAATAGAATTTATCTATTGGCCAAGTTTTATCTAAGAACATGACATATTAATTGATGATAATGTTTTTCTATTTGCGTGTGTGTGTGTGTCAATCCCTGTGAAAAACCAGTAAGAACGGAAACAAAAAAAAAATCACTAACCAGTTTCCTTGGTTCCTTGTGAATTTCGAAAATTCTTTAAGAAAACGAGATATTTTTCTGTCTTTTCCTTCTTAAATATAGAGTTTCCGTCTAACAAATCACCACAACGATACGATATTTGCATTAGAAAACTACTTTGTTCTCTTTCTCGACAATTTCAATTCTAAAATGTGTGTTTGAGAATTTAAATTTTATATCATTATACGTAAATGTGTGTGTGTGTGTGTGTGTGTGGAATATATCTAAAAAATGAATCAATTTTTTGCTTCACCATTCTTAAAATTCAATGGAACAAAAGATTTCAGGTTCTACCATTCACATATTGATATGATTTCACTATAATTTTCTTCGATAACGAGTGAAAAAAAAATTCTTTTGCAAAGAATTTGAATTTTGTTTTCGCTCTCTTCTACAGACACAATCATACGATTGGTCAATGGTTTTTTCAAATGTTTCTTCTGTGAAAATAAACGAAAAAGGGATTAAGATAAAAGAAAAAACTTTCATAAAATTCAAAGATTCCTATTATTATTAACATTCGGAAGCCAAATGACTTTTTGATGATGATATTGGTGATCGCAGAGCGATAAATTCCCTTTGTTTTTTTCAGCCGTAATTTCGATCAATATGATGATATAACCAGCAACCAAAACAAAACAAACAAACAAACAAAAAACATTATGTCAATGCCGAACGATTTCTATAAAACGGATGTAATTTTCTTTGACCGATTGAAAACAAATCGATGAAACAAATCTTATGTTATGTGTGATGGTTATTTAGACATGGCCGAAAATAAATACCTTTTGATGATGATATTGGTGATCGCAGAGCGATAAATTCCCTTTGTTTTTTTCAGCCGTAATTTCGATCAATATGATGATATAACCAGCAACCAAAACAAAACAAACAAACAAACAAACATGCAAAACATTATGTCAATGCCGAACGATTTCTATAAATAAGAAAACAAATCGATGAAACAAATCTTATGTTATGTGTGATGGTTATTTAGACATGGCCGAAAATAAATACCAAGAAGATGATTATGATTGTGATCCAACTAAAAGGATTTGTGATATGATATCATTATGATGAGTAAAATGAATGTGCAAAGATAAAATAAAATAATGACCAAACACAGTCGGTTTGGTTTTGATTGAATTCGCCATTGAATTTGGTTGTTTAGATATCTTATTTACCAAAATTGTAATCAAATCGATTTCAATATTCGCATATGTCTGAATATCATATAGTAGTGTGAAATTCTTTATTTGAATTTTTTTTCTTTGTTAAATTTATTCTCTTTTTTTTGGCTACCACGGTGATTTCTATACAAATGACAAACCATTTTGGAGAGAAAAAACCGTTTGTGTCAATTTAAACGGATGGGCTTATTGTTTTTCTCTTTTGGTTCGTTTTATTACGCATCGATAGAATTTAAATTGATGTACTTGTTTATGGGCTAAAAATAAAATGTTTGACAGATATCTATTGTTGTTTGTGTCTATTACAGTGAACAATTGTACATCAAATCATCCAAAATGATAGATTTTATTTTTTCTCCTCTATTTAAATCGATCCATTCAATCAATCAGATTGAACGCAATTCATTGATGAAACAAAAATGATTCACAATTTGCCATTGGAAATAACATATAAACAATCTATATTGATGATGTTTGTTATTCGTGATTGGCATATTCATGAAATTTCCATCCACTAATTGAGGAAATGAAACAATCCTTTTCTTGGTTATTAATTTTTTTTCTCTCTTCATCCAATGCTAATCGCGTAGTTCACCAGTTTTAATTTGTAATTTAATAGAAATGATACGTGGTTCTTTTATTATCCTTTCGCATGATTTAATTCTTTTTCAATCGGATTTCAATTTTTTTTCTTGTTCTTTATTATCATTTAATACAGCCATCAAATCATAATGATTATATGATTATTATCATTAAGCTCCCCGATTGAAAAGCATTTTCTAATTCCTTCAATGTTCTCCTGTGATAATAGCAATGGTAGAAGTAGTGTAGTAATTTAAACTAACACAAGTGTATACTACTTAGATTCCAGTAATTTTCAATTTGAACGAGTGAAAAAAGATAAAACAAAACGCCAATCGACATCTCTCTTGTGACGAGTAAAAGAGAAGAAAGTTATTTCATTTCGTTCCATGGACACAATTTGCAATCGTTTTGGCTGATTGAATTGCGACAAAAAAATGGATGATGATGAGAATGAGAATGTAGGAATTTGGCAATGTTTTGTTTGACAGTAAACAATTGTAAATCGAATCGTCAAATGGAATTTTTCTCCATGCTTTCATATAAAGTCGAAATCGAACATGACATCGATCGATCGATCGATGATGGTAAAGATTAATTTTTTTGCCCTATTTTTTCGGTCGTTAAGGATTCTTTAATGAAATACGTGCACTGTTTTTTATTTTGATCGAAAATGAGGATGATAATACTTCAAATATTTTTGTTGAATTTATTAGGTTCATTTACTTGCCACAATTTCATTTGTCCAATTAATGGAATTAACCACCATTGAATGAATCCTGTATTCTGTAGAAAACAAAATTCGAATATTGCATGTCTGAATGAATGGTGAATTTGTTGTTAATACCTAGTATTACTATGCTAGTAATAATATATTTGAAAATCATACACTCATTTCACATAGTTTGTTTTCCTTATCCTTTCTCTTTCCAAATGGTTAGAATTACATCCTTTTTTAAAAAGGGACAACAATGAAATATCAATCTTCATTTTTATGTTGTATCGTTTCAGAATCGAAACTAATAATTTACTAACATTAGTTTAAAGCAAATAATTCTTAATCAATATAATGATGATTATGAAAAAATATAATTGTGCATCCAGGATTCATTCATTCTTATGCGTGTTTTCCGATTGATAACATTATCTTTATCTTTATTTTTATATATTATACATATTCAATTCAATTTATTTCCACTATTATCATGTGAATGAAAATTTCTCAAATAATTTTCTTTTGACAAAATCAATATTTTTCAATGAAAAATCGATAATATAATAATTCATTATATTCACCAGAAATGCCGACACAATTAGATAAAATATGAATGAATCATTCGATGTTCAAATAAATAATTATGTTGACTTTAGAATCAGCTGACATTGATATGATAATTGAATAATTATTCATCTAATTTTTCCATCTTTTAGCTGCCGTTGTCGTGGCATTTTTCATATGTTTCGCTCCATTTCATGCACAACGTTTGATGGCAATCTATGTGAAAAATCCATCCGATTATGAGACGATTGCATTCACATTGTTAACTTATATTTCTGGTGTGACATATTATCTAAGTGCGACAATCAATCCCAGTAAGTTATAAGTTTTCATAAATAATTCTTTCCATTCGTTAATGATTTTTTTTTTTTTTTTTTTGAATAATAATCAGTATTATATTCAATCATGTCCGTACGATTTCGTCAGGCATTTCATGATACATTCGTAAGGACATTTTGTCCATCTGTTTTCAATCAATTCGACCATCGTGGAACAACACGACAGATGTATTGTTCAACTTATAGTCATCACCATCAGCAGCAACACATGTCAAGTGGTAAATTGATGAATGTTCGTGAAAAAACAATCATTAATCGTCATGATCAATCAATAACCGGAAAACAAACAGCAACGACAACAACAATACCAAAGAATGGAATGACACAAATTGACGAACATTGTTCTGCTGATAATAAAAATATTTATCGAACAAATGAAAATGAAAACGGCTGATATGATGATTCATTTTATCATCATTGTCATTATTGTATACAGTCACTGACATAAATTTCGCTTCAATTTTCGGAAAAAATTTCTGTAAATTTTCTCTCCTCTTTTTTGATTAAACTTTTTTTTCACCTCCTAAACAAAAAAAAATGTGGACATAATTTTGTTGTTGAAAAGCAACAATGATGACATTGACATTCATTCGAGCATATACAAATAAAAAAAATATTTCATCAACCATCATTGATTGATACAGACATCAGTGAGAAAAAATCTATGAAAACGATCAAAAGGATAAAGATAATTAATCAAAATTTACAACTAAGAAGAATTTTGTTGCAAAATTTTTGTTTTCTTTTTCACTATGGCAAAAAAAACTGAATGAAAAATTCCACAACTGCAACAAAAAGCCATTAAACTAATTGAACAACATCGTTTCATCATCATGCCAAATTTATCGTCAACGGACAAATGCAATTGACTGATTTTTTGTTCAATTCCAAATAGTTGTCATTGTTGTTTGTCAGGTCAGAATGAATCGTATTCGAGAAAAAATTTCAACAGAAAAAAAAGAAAGTTTCGGACCAAAAAAAATAAAACCAATATTGATAAGAGGCTGATCATTATTCGTGAATGGTTGAAGAGCAATATGATAACCTAAATGGACATTGACAATCACACCGATATAAAAACAAAACGACGGTCGATTGAAAATCATTAGAGAATTTTGATTTTTTTGTTTTGTTTTCGCATCGAATCCAACATAATTAACTGTGTAGAAAGAAACAACAGCGAGTGTATCAATTGCAAATGATCAATGCATCTTATTGTTGTTAAATGGTGATATATTTGTATTTTGTGGAGTTCTTGTGTTTTCCCTTCTAATAAAAATTTACAATTTCTGTGTAACGGGGTTACAATGTATCCATTCGATTTATCTAATTAATTGAAAACAAGAATGTGGGTGAATAAACTCAACAAATGGGTAGCAATTATAGCCGACGCCCGAATCTTGTAAATATAGCATGTATCTATTTGTTTTTATGGTAAACATTGTCATCATGTAGTAATCATCATTCAAACCGAATGGATCAAATTAGAAATAATTTGTTCATTACGAAATACATTCGCTTTAGTCATACGAATTTGATCACCAAAATCATCGACTTGTCTTTCGGTTTGCTCCAATTCTTTACGTAACGGTTCCAAATCGCTATTCATTTCGGCACGAATCTTCATTATGATTTTATTGTTAGTTTCAAATTCCGTTTGCCATTTTACCAGTTCATTCAACATTGGTTCAACATCTTCATGAAGATAGCCCATCGCTTTCGTCAACGTTCCAATCGATTGACACAATGATTGTATCTGATTCTTTAATTGATTTGTATCATCAATCATTGTCGCTGATTGTTGATTATATGATTTATTGGATTCAAGATTAAGATCTTTAATCTGTCCTTCGAGCTCATTTTTTGTTGCCATTAATTGCTGCACAAGATGACCTTTACTTTCGAATTCTTCTTGGCCAATATCAGCATCACCAGTCTTTTGATCACGATTGTTTGAATCCATCGTTAAAATGAATCTTGAAGCTTCTGTGAACTTATCAAAAATTCATCCGATTCGTCATCCACAGTTTCGGGTATCCAAACATTTGCATTTGTCGTCGTACTTTCCGATTCTAATTGCTCTGTACGATTTTCCATTAATTGACTTAATCGAGATCGGGATGCGGTCATTACACGAGGAGGAGCTGGCCTTGAGCTTTTTGGTCGAGCCGATCTAGTTGCTGCACTGGATTTGATACGATTATTGATATCGGCCACTGATTTCTCCAATGTATTAACATTATTATTCAGATCATTATTAGAATTTTCACGATTTTTTGGCCGATTCGATTGAATTTCTTTATTATTAGTGATGACTTTTGATGACGATAAATCATTTAATTTCGGATGAATAGCGATCGATTCGATGACCGGAGGCTCTGTTTGTTTTACGGTAGAGATATCCTCATTATGATTCCGTGCAATACCGACAATTGATTCTTTCAATCGATTGTTCTCGGTAGATGAGAAATTTTTCTCAAACTCCTTGTCAATTGAATTCTGTCCACTATCGTGATCATCATTCGTTACTGGCAATTCTTCATCCATGATTTGTGGTTCATTCATCAGTGAAGGATTGTTGTCATTATTGTTAACATTATCTAATGATGATAATTGTCCTAACACATCATCAAGATCATCCATTACAGCCTGTGTTTTGATGTCAACTTGATCGTTTTCCTGCATTTTCATTTCATCACGATTTTGAATGTCTGTTTTAGTTGTCGTTGATGGACGACGATTCTCATTTTCTTTACCTACAATTTCTAATTCAGAATCAATTGTAAGTTCCTCTGTGTTTTCTTCTTGCGCTTCAATCTGATTTTTGTATATTTCATTAATGGATTCTTTTCTTTTGATATTTGGTTTTTCAATTTCATTCTTTGGCGATTCGGCTGTCTTGGCATTTGTTGATTTTCTTTCTTGCTGGCTTGGTTGTTTAGTTTTTCCAGCCGCAGTGGCTTTAGTTGTTGGCTTAGTAATTGGTTTAGTATTTTTAGATTTGATTTTTCCATCATTGACATCGGTAACGGCTTTTGTAGTCATTTTTTCTTTATTATTGTCCACCTTATCGATCGTATTTTTTGATCCTTTGCGAACCTTTTCCACTGATTCTAGAAATGATTTCTTATCCAACACACATTTAGCGAATTCATTGAGAAGTTTATTAGTTTTTTCCACTTCTACTCCTGCAACGATTTTAGCCGATTTACAATCAATTGTTTTACCATTGATCAAACCTTTAAAAACGAATCAAAAATTAATTTAAATGTCACCATACAATGAAACATTATTTTTTACCAATCACATCGATTAGTTTGTCCAGGAATGCCATTTTTCTCTCTTTATTGGCATTGACATTATCGAAATTGAATTCCTCTTCACTATAAAGACCACGAAGATATCCAGTTGTTTTGATGATCTTTTTGCAAATAGAAATAGTTTAGGATTAAAGATAACAATAACAACAAATATTATTCAAACCATTGTAGTCAGATCGAATATGAATCGAAATGGTGGACGTGATAATATCTTTTCGGTGACAGCCGGTCTTTTCACTATTTTGCTTAATTGATCAATGTTTGATTTTATCAAACGTTGATTGATTTTTTCTTGAGACATTTTCTTCTGTCTTTAAAACTGGATTGCTTGAATCGTAAAAATCAATTGTTTTGTTTAGAAAATTACAGCATTTTTCCTTTTCCCTCATCTATAGAAATGGTTTCCATGACGGCAGCCTTTTTTTGTTCAAAAAAAATCAATGCATAACGTTCTATACGGACGGCAAATTCTGTCAAAATCATATGTCTTCAGCATTCGAATATTTCAAACACAAAACTTGTTTTACAATTTTTAGCTTCTTGTCTTATTTATTATATATCGGAATAAGAAAAAAATAAATTAGTTCATTGGCTAAGAAAAATAACATCTTTTCCAGCAGTATTTACTATGAGCGGTATGTTGAGCCAAAAATTAATCCTACTTTTATTAACCATTCTATATTTGATGCAGCAGAGCTAAAAATAGTTGTTTTTCCACTTTTACAACTATAGTTGAGCCATACCACGCAGCAATATCCACGTTTATCAACATTTTGGTGTATTCCCGAATAATCTCGAAGTTTTCTGTCCATTATCGAGTGCTAATTTTCTATATTTGTAATCACCGAAAATTTTTATAAAAAGGTCCAGAATCGAGTTCTGACTTATTTTTTTCAAAATTTTGTTTGTGAATTATCAAATTGTGAAGAATATTTTTAAAAATGTCTGATAAAGAATCATTGTGGCAACGATGTCGTCAAATGGAAGCTCAGGAAAATCTTGGTGAATCTTTCAAATGTGCCTTATACCTACAACGAATGGATCCGAATGATAAAGAAGTGATTGAAACCTTACGAAGATTAAATGAAAAAATACAAAAACTATCACAAGAAGCGAATTCGACCGAAAATCGTATGAAAAAGACAATACAATATTTAAAAGATGAAACCGAAGATGATGACAAACGTATTGGTGCTGCAAATAATCTTATCGCTTTAGTTCGAGAAAATAGTGGCCGAAAATTATTTATCGAACAAAAAGGATTCGACTTGCTTGTGTCGTTGCTAAAGAATCCCAAAGTATTGTACGATATTCGTATGGGTTTAGTCCGTGTTCTGGCACAGATTATTGGTTCAAGTATGGAATCAGCTCAACTCGTCTATTCAAGCATTGGAATTGATTTCATAATCGAAATAATGTCACGAGAGAAAAATGATGAATTTCTTATCTCTTCCCAAAGTGCCATTCAAGGTATGCTCACTCACTTCAGTGGTTTTAGTGCCAAAGAAAACCAAAAAATTGACAAAGAAAAAGCAAAAAAATATGAACAACATATCGATACAATAATGGCATCATTATTTCAACGAATCAATCAACGCATGATGTCGGCCAAATGTCGTGATTGTCTATTTGAATTATTGATGGTCAATGTTGATCCGGAAGCCATTGATTGGGGTAAAAAATTGATCAAAGGAAATGGCTTATCCAAATTATTGGAAGTTGCCAGTGAATTAGTTGAAGTTCGATATGAAAGTAGTATGCCGATCACTGCCGATACCCGAACACATGTTGCATTAGTATTGGAAAAAATTTACAATTGTATGGATTGTGATAAATCACGTGAAGAATTTCGTACGCAAATGATGCAATTTATGAATGATCATCTTCGAGGTCCAAATATTGAAAGTAAAGTTCGTGCAACAGCAGCAATTACAGCTCTTTTAAATGGCCCGATCGATGCCGGTAATCATTGTCTAACACAAGTTGGTATTGTTGAAATGATGCTTGCTATGGCTAATTCCGATGATGTAGTTCAACAATGTGTTGCTGCTGAAGCTTTAATAGCTGCTACGGTTAAAAAAGATAAAAGCGAGACAATTGCACGTGAAGGAATGGGTATACTGAAGGCATTATTCCGATCGAATAATCCAAAAATCAAAGTTAGGGCCCTGGTTGGCCTTTGTAAACTTGGTTCAGTGGGTGGTACTGATGCATCCACTCGTGTAATATCGGATGAATCGACTATGGAGTTATATAAAGCATGCTGTGATCTTTTGGAAATTGGCGGTAAATCTCCAGATCATCAAAACAAACCAGAAGACATAAGAAAATGGGCTGCTGAAGGGATAGCATATCTTTCATTGAATGCCGATGTTAAAGAAGCATTGTGTAAGGATCTGAAATCATTAGAACAATTGATTGAACTTGGTAAAAGTGGCGAATTATCCTGCTTGTTTGGTGTCGTTACAACATTTGTCAATATAACGAATAGTTATGAAAAACAAGAAATTATACCGGAAATGATTGAATTGGCTAAATTCGCCAAACAACATGTACCTGAAGAACATGTATTGGATGCGAAACAATATGTAGATGCACGATGTAAAATTTTGGCCGAACACCATGTCACTTCGGCCTTAGTTGCTTTATCGAAAACTCAAGCGAAAACTAGCCGCGAAATGATTTGTCGTGTATTCAATGCTATCTGTGAACATGTTAATTTGCGTGGTTATGTCGTACAGGAAGGTGGTGTTCGTGTATTGATTCGTTTAGCCTTGGAGAATAATATGTTGACTGGGAAACGTCTTGCAGCACAAGCAATAGCACGAATAGCCATCACTAATGATCCAAGTCTTGTTTTTCCAGGACAAAGAGCGTTAGAAGTTGTTGGACCAATCATGGAACTTTTACATCCGGAATGTAGTGCCTTACAAAATTTCGAATCACTAATGGCACTAACAAATCTTGCTCAAATGAGTGTCCAATTACGGAATCGTATTATTAAAGATGGTGGTTACTCTAGTATTGAACAATTCATCTATGAAGATCATCAAATGCTCAAAAGATCATCGACACAATGCATCGCGAATCTGATTCTTGCCGATTCTATTGTAAAATTGTTTGAAGGCGATAATGATCGCGTAAAATATTTTGTTATTCTTTGTGGTGATGACGATCTGGATACTGCATCCGCTGCAGCTGGTGCTTTAGCAATGCTAACATCTATTTCTAAGAAATCGTGTCAAAAAATTCTTGATGCTAAAGAATGGCAACAATATTTAATGCAATTAATTTCAAGTAAATATCCGGAATTACAACACCGTGGTGTTGTCATTGTACACAACATGATTTCATCAAATGGAAATTGTGCACGAAAAATTATCGAATCTCCAATATTAGAAATTTTAATGGCCATCACACAACCGGGTATCATCGAAACAAACGATACGGTCAAAGAAATTGCTAAAGCATCATTGAAACGTGCAGAACAACTCAAATTAATTAAACATATTGAAAATTTAAATCTACAACAAGAAACCGGTGATGATGTTGAACGTGAACTTTAATAATTTTTAACAGCTAACATATATTTATTTTATTCGATTTATTTATCCAATTAAACTCAATTTTTTAAAAGAATTTGTCATTTCAGTTCAAAATAATTAATATTGAGCATTAAAAAAATTGATTATGAATTTAAATTAAATTCCAATAAAGGCGATGCTAAATATTCTGTTTCATTTTTGATTTCGAAATCAGTGGTGAGTATAGAATATTCCAATACTTATCTTTTTGAATTTTTTTTAGAAGCAGATTATGGTTATACGTGTCGCCATCTGCTAATGGAGAAAGAAACTATTTTTTTAAAACTGCAAATGCCACGATATATGAATTTCATAACTGCACTATTCTTAAAAACCAACACATTTGGACAACATAAAGATGTATTGCCCCCCTAGTAAAAATTGTTGACATTCCTTTATGAATCTCGATAAATGAGTTAAAATTCATGATTACACGGGAAGAATATTGCAAGAGATTTTAAATGGAATGTTTTAGAAAAAATGTCATTCATTCGAGACATCACTGTATGTCTAAAGGTTTCCATCATAGCTAAATTTGGCGCATTTAAATTTTTCATGTTGTCAATTTCAAATGCTTAAAATGATGTCAAAAATAGACCAAAAATGGTGGTCTTCATTTGCTCGGTACAATACCAGACTTTCATCGAGATTCAATTTTTACACTTGCACTTTAATAATAATCCCATTGGTTTAGATATCTTGAACCTCTAATCATTATGATTACGGCTATTTTCTCTGATATTTTTCACCATTATCATCGTCGATTATCTTTGCGACCACCATCATCGACATCCATTTAATCTTACTAGATGATGGTGATGATCATATGTTTGAACTATGTTGGAGAATATAAAATAATTAGGTCGTTGAACAATTGAAAAGTCGGAAAAAAAGAAGCTTTACCGGGAAAACACAATACAACAATATACCACACACACCAGTTTGAATGAAAAATAAAAATGATCAGATTTGTTTTTGTTTCGGTAAGGAGAATAATAAATTTTTGACTAAAAAACGAATCGTTTTTGGCCTCTAATGTACATAAATTTGTTGATCAAGATCAATATGGATAAGAAATATAAATATTTCATTCATAAATATTAATGATGATGATGATGATAATAATAATCAAGAATAATGAAGAATTCAAACTTGTCATCATCATCATCATCATTATTATTGATAATAATATAAAGAGAATAGAAAATCCAGAAAGATGATGAGAATATTTCCAACATGCAATGCATCAAAAGACTCAAGGAAAGAATGAAGAATCTGGCCTTGTGTGTGTGTGTGTGTGTGTGCAATACATTGAAATCGATTCAAAACACACACACACACACACACCGACATGAAATAAACTGTTCATATAAATTGCGTCATAATAATGTTTGTCCTATGTGTTGTTTTTTTATAATCATAGAATGACGTTATGATGATCATTGATGACAACCGACCGACAAGAGTACCGACCGAAAAAACGAATGAATATTAACCGACCGACAAAACGAAAACATAACGAATGAAACACACATTGGGCGTTTTCCGAATAAAAATTTCTCTTTCATCAACCAAAAAAAAGAAAAATTGTACATTATTGTTCGTTGACTGGCTGTTCGGCTATAATCATCATCATCATCATCAAGTCATCTTCGTCGTCGTTGTCAAATTCATTCATTCAATGCATTTGAAAAACATTAATACAATGAGAGTTTAGGCATGGAACATAATTTTTTTTATCTTTTTTCTAGGTATTTTCTATTTTGGCTGCTTTTATCCATCATCATCATTTTGTATTATGATTATTATCACCTAACGAAAAAATGGAAAGATGTACAGCGAATGTTCATGTCTGATGATGATGATGATGGATAATAATACAAACGGTGTAATTAACAATCCTTTTTTATTAATGACAGCAGTTCATAATGTTGATTGCATCAATTGTACAAGATTATGGACAAATAAATCGCTGGTGATTATGTCCGATTCGTTTGTCTTTTCATTTGGTTGCTGTAGCTGTAATTGCTGTTCAACATTTGAGTAAGTCACTGGTTGCGTACATGAATGTAAATATTTAGCAAGCATTGTACATTGGGTGCGATTAAATTGATGGAAAATTCGATCAGGATTCGAGAATTGATCCAAATTTTTTGGATATTTGAGCTGTTCGAGTAGACAAGTTGAGCGAATTGGTTTTGCATTCATACGATGTTCATCAACCACTACAATCGTGTTCAGATATTTAAGATAACCACGAAAATGATTGACGATTGTAGTGAAATCCGATGTGCCACTGCTGTTGTTAGATAATTGTAAAACTTGCAATTCTTCACGGCTCAAAGGAATCTGACTTGAAAAAAAGCTTATATTCTCATAATGAATGTATGGCGGTAATTTGGATTGATCCATAGAATTATAAAGTTGGCCACTGGATAAAGTCGATTCCGGTACAATCGTATACAAATGTATCTCGCCAATGTGCACCAATTTTCGTTTGCATGGCAATAATTTCGTCGATGGTAGTGATGCCTGCATATTTCGCCAATCATTAGCCGCCACATTAAAATCATTGCTCATTGAATCTGAATTTTTAATGGCCACATAAACGGCATAACGCATACGATAATAATTACCACAATTAGTCAATCGTGGCATAGTTGGATCAAGTAACGACAGGAAATATTCATAACGAAATCGAATAGTCGAAATCGTTGATTGACCATGATGAAAGGATGATGATTCCGGTTCATTTAATTGAAAATAATTACGAAGATTATCCAATTCAAATACCCGATTTGTATGTGGATCATCGTATGATGATGTGGATGATGTAGACACTTCATCTCTAATGTTGATCGGTCGAATTGTAATCAATGGATTAGATCCCAATATCATGATGTAATTATCGAATATTTGAATATTGTTCGTGTTCGATGAATGATGATGAACAACATGTGGTATTTCTTTACCCCAAATGATTCGTTTGGTCGTCAATTGGCTACGTTTGTATGCAGATGGTTGTGAATGTGTGATTGGTCGTATAATTTTTGGATCACTAATTCCCAAAGAACTTGATTTTTGAACATTAAAACTAAACGAATTACAATCGTCGCTGAAACTTTTTTCGTTTGACATATTGTGTGCCAAGAAGTAATGGTAATTTTTTTAATCTATTACAATACCGAATGCAATTTAAATGGACAAATAGTATCGATTATTGACAATAACAATAATAATACAGAAATAATTCGAAAATTTTCATTCAGATTCCATAATTGAATCACGAATAAAAATGAAATCAACGAACAACGAATATTATCGGAATGAAATGATTGTTGTTGATCGGTTGTTGACCAATGAAAATGTTTAATATGTTTAGAGCTAAAAACAACAACCAATGTTTATAATCATCATCATTGATGATGACGATTATCGATAATCAATGCAAACCAAAATGATTTCATGGAAAGTGATGATTGCGTTGTATCATGAGAAATAGCAATTGATATTTGTAATAATAATATTCGATTAGATCACTATTTAGATAGATAAAGATGATTGTGATCGAACAAAATATTGAAAAAAGAACACACACACAAATATAAACAATCGATATATGAACAACAAGAATTGGATGATTGATTATGACAGTTCCATTTGTATCGATATATTACCCCACTGTCTATGTGTGCCTCAATTCAAATATTTTTTGGCTAAGCCGTTTATTATTAATAATAATAATTTGTTGTCGTAATCATGATCATCATCGTATATTTTGTTGTTGTTTTTATTGTTGGATCATATATGATGATGATGATGATGACGATGGCCATTTGGCACGTTTCGTGCCAAACAATCATCATTAGACAAACATTTTTTTGCTTGCCATTCTTTTCGGCCACCAATATATACCTGGATAAAGTCAAAATGAGTCAAGCAATGTTTAGCATCAAGCCTGAAACTTTTGGATCAACAACAACAATCAAGCCAAACGATAAATGGATGAAAAAACAAGGCACGCAATCCATATTATATCAAATAATATGTTTATGTACCAGTCGATGGTACAAAAGTCGATGGCCATTCTTTTGACTATGAAGAAAGAGGAACAACAACAACAACACCAACAAGCTAGAGAATTAGTAAAAAGAAAAAAATCGCAATTAATATAAAGGGACAAAGTAAAATGCACACAATGCACCAAGAAAAATTCTTATCAAGTGGCTGTTGCTGCTGTTGAAGTAGATTTTAATCGCCAATGGACCACCAACACTATCATCATCATCATCAAGAGCACACGATATTGAAGAATGGAAATTGTGTTGCGTGAGTGAGGCACCAAACCAAGGTATTCTGAATAGTTCAGAAATCGACAATGGCACCCAAAATGAGAGGCACATGAACGACAAACAACAACACTTTTGACAGAATGTGAGAATCAATTTGCAGGGAACGAACACCAATACTGACAAATCAGTTCATTAAATTGAAAAATTTCTAATGATTATTTCAATAATCAATTTTAAACATTTTTGACATTTCTTTGAATCTGTTAATGATCACCATCAAGATGATTTTGATTTTGTCAATCCTTTTTCTACCATTAATCCGGTTCGTTTATCATTGTATCACACTTAATCCTTGCATATTCATCAATGAAAGCGAATGGCACCCATTCATTAAGTTGGAAAAATAAAAGGATTGAGAATAATATCATGTGCCTCACACATCGAGGTTGATAAATGAAAAAAACTTGCAAATCAATCTTGGCAGTGTACAAAAGTAAAACCAAAAAAAAAAAAAATATATATATCTGATTAGACTTGCACGGAATTATCTTCTTCTAATCTCGAAACAATCAATCGTAGGTATCTTCGTCATTGCCGATATATTATATCTTGACATTGGCTAATTGAATTTCAAATTGTTTAATCTAAATGATAGTGGTGGTGGTCGTCTTTTTTTTTGGTACTGTTGTTGATTAAGAAAAATTGAAAACGAAATGTAAATTTGTCAGACATATGCATACACAAAACAAAAGTTCAAGATTTCGTTCAATTTGTATCATTGTGTCATTAATAAAATAAAAATCCAAATATAGCAGTCACCTCTCTATGTCTGTCTAACTAGTAAAAGTTTGAAATGATAGACTGGTGATTTTGTTTTGTTTTGTTTTTTTTTTTTTTTTTTTTTTTGATTCAATTTTTGACAAAAAAAAATTCTTGACCTTTTTCAATCTATCGTTTTATTGAGAATTTGAAAAAAATTTATTCGACTCAATTATGTAAGAATCGAATTGAAATAATCAATCAGGCCCAAAAAAAGTTTAGATGCAATAGAGCACATTACAATCGGATTGGCAAATAATCACCGATTTCCACATGAACATGCAAACAAGTCGATATGTCAATCATAGATTAATGTCATTTAAGGATTTTATCATTTTCCCCGTAATACCTGGTTGTTAATCTTTATTTTTTACTCAATCAAAACTATATTTCATAATCAAAAAAAACGATGACTTAATCCTCATCGTAAGATCAACCTTATTAGAACAATTGTGATTATGACAACGACAATAACAACGAAAAAAAAGATTGATTACTCGGGATGGCCAACAAACAAAAAAAAAAAAAAAATCTAAAAGATCGGTAAGCTATCAGACGTCAATCCGGCCAAAAAAAAATCGAAAACAAAATTTGCAGTGTCGCCCTATCAATTAATCAATCTTTATTCATTCATAAAAGACGACAGAAGAAATACATTGTCATTTGTAATCAACTAAATGACGATTAATTTCACAGTTAACATTCGCAAAAAAATTGTTTATATCAATCAATAGCATACACACACATGATTAGAAAGCATCATCTTCATCATTCAGTAATTGCATCGACGGAAATGAATATCAACATAGAAAATATAACAGTTGAATGAATAATGTGCAGTTTGCAGTCATCTGTCAACGAATAAGTTCAACGCCAATAAATGACAAACTATATTGTAATGTTCAAACATGTATTTCACAAGTAAATCGACCCCCTTTATATTATTCATCATCTATTATAGGAAAAGATCATCATTTCGAGTTATCATTCACCTACTTTGACCAACAATAACGATGACAACAATCTTGGATGATGAATCTTACAAATGATCTAATGTCCATCGCTATGTTTGAGTGTGTGTAGGCGGTGTATGTTCGATAGATAGAATATTATCTTGGGTAAAAAAAGCTCAAAGGTCATGAAAGGAAATTATTCAGCCAAAATCAAATTCATTCATTTAGTTTTTTTTGTAAATTCATTTTTCGGATATCATCAAGAATGAAATAATGGAAAAATAGCAGAAAGATACTGGGAACAAATGAATAAAAGAGGAGTAAGCCCTTCGAATATGATCAAGTTATATATTATTCCGGGTAGTGGCATGAGTTATTCGAGGTGAAAAAAAACTACTTGACACAACAAGCACTCAACACACAAAACATGCACAGAATGAAAAGAGAAGGAGGTGGTCAAAAGAAAATAAAATGCACAATCGGGTTCGGGTGACGCCGGCCAATTACCTTTTATATTATGGCGTAATGGGCCGATTGTATACGCATACATATAAACATGACTATATGCTATGTAAGTAATGTTTATTTTATATATACAGAAAAACCATCGACAAGTTGTTTTCAACCAATCAGCATCATTTAGGGGAGTTAAATAATCATCATTATTTTCATTTCTAGTTGTAGTGGTAAATCTGGAATCATAATACACTTACATCGAAAAAAAAAAAAAAATGATTGTAATTATCAATCTAATTCATAATCAAATCAAATCCAATGACCCTCTCTCTATCGCTCTATAATCATCATCACATAATATAATAATAATATCATTAAATTCAGTGTTACCCTCATTTTTGAAAAAAGAATGTGATTTGTCTTATTCATTCATCAACTGTATCTCATTCAATTTAACAATGAATGACAATTGAACTGAATAGAAATGAACCGAAACGAATACAATGCCTTCTATTTCAAGCATTACATCTATAAAAATCTCAATTGATGGTGACATACCTGAACAATACCTGAAGAACAGAATACATACATACACAATGAATGAGTATGAATTGAAGAAGAAAAGTGTCAACGTAAAGCGTGACACAGGTACCGAACGACGACCAGAAAGAGAGAGAGAGAAAGAATGGGAAATGTAAAGAGATTGATAGAGAGAATCAGCAGGAGAACCAACAAAGATGATGGAAAAAGAGTATTGTTGTATTTTGTTTGTACGGAAAATTCGTGCTTGGCATATTCCATTGATGATGATGATGATGATGACGTGATAGTATCTCTCATTCTCTTTATCCATCTTGCATATACAATCATGTCTATAAACGACAAAGTGAACGAGGTGTACTGTCAATTTATACTCTTTTTTTTGTTATTGTATTTGGATCAAGCAGCCAGGCATATCGAAATCATTTATTTTTGGTAAAGTATATGTTTATATGATATTGTCCATAGACTCGAAATATGAACAATGGTTACTCTTGACGATGATGAACGAAGTGGACTAAACTGAACTGTTATTTGAACTAAAGCCATAAAAATCATTTAGAAACGAGTGTAATCAGGACAAAATGATAATTTCTTTAGGAAAAAACCGATTGTTTTAGGTACCAAATGGTGGAATAATCAAAACTTGGCAGATTTATTTTTTTTTATACATTGACTGGAATGCAATGCACCTGCATGTGTATTTGTGACTGTATATACAACATTACAAATGAATGTGCATTTCAGGTTAATTACTTGTAGTCAATGATGATGATGATGATGATGATGCTAGGCTTGGCTTGGCCAAATTTGACAATCATGAATTGGCCACCTCTATACAATAACACCTGATGATGATGATGAAAAGCCAATCAAATTGAATTGGAAAAATGAAATTTATGAATTAAACACAGGATGCTTTCATATGGGTGATAATATTTCGATTAATAATTATAATAATAATCATCATCATCATCATCATTATGGCTGCTTTTCATTTTGTTAATTAAAATTCATTGTTGCGCACGCAATCCAATCGCAAATTTTATTTGTATCATAGAGCAATTCTCATCTGTAAAATTACTATC